GTGTGTGTGTGTGTGTGTGTGTGTGTGTGTGTGTGTGTGTGTGTGTCGTGTGTGTGTGTGTGTGTGTGTGCGTGCGTGCGTGTGTGTGTATGTGTTTGTGTATATATATATATATATACTAAATACGAAATCTGACGCGTGCATACATGCCCAGTATACTAACATGGACACATTCAGATGATTACTAACTTTATCATAAAACTTTCAATCTCTTGTTTTATCGTGAAATTTAGTTTGTATCGGCACAAACCACAGAGTGTCGCACTCCAGTACTTACCAAAGACTTGCCATCGCCGTGGACACGATAACTTGTGTAAATCTGAAGGTCCGTCTATAGCTGGGATACTGATTTTCTTTCAGCAACATTGCAATAGTTACAAAGCTCCATATAAATGTAAAAAAAGCCAACTCCTATACCTACATTACACGCATGACTATCATTAAACATGCAGTAATTATCTCTGCGCTTGCCTTGGTCTGCAATGCACGCCCAAACAATAAGTGAGCACAAACATGTCCCCGCACGTAGTCTCACGGCCAAATTCATGTTGGAAATATACAAGAAAGTGTATACATAGATATAGTTTATATACTTAATGAGACCTAATGACCTTTACCTTAAAGGTTTGTATGTAAATACATACGTAGCCATACAACTCCATGACCCTTTGAAGGACGGGACAGAAATATGCTCTCTCTCTCACAAGGGGATGAGCGGATGAGCTCATCGCTTCATCAGTCATGACTACTCTTGTGCAAATAACGGCTATACCCTAACGTATCGTACACATTCAAAACCCAAACTATGACGTAACGTGAGCTTTTATCGGTTTCATCATACCATTCGGCTAAATCGGTATCCCGCTTTAGAAAGTCCAAAATATATATAAAAATAGAAAAAACTATATTTGGAGGATTTCAAAACAACAGAGACAGTCTCTGCGTGCGTATTGATCACACATACTGATACAGTCACACTCTTACATATCACACCGTAGAGGCGCGCAATTGCACTGTAGGGGCGAATAGGTGCTCATAGATACAGGCTTATAGGTACCGCCACCTATACGTAGGAAAGAATTCAGTAGCAACCTCACTACATGCATCATGGTTTACAAAGCCTCCAGTACAGGATGTTACAACATCATGTACTTCTTTGCAATCCTCTTGACGATTGTGACGTTCGTGTCACTGTACTATCTGTTCAATCTCGCGGATAGATTCAGTCTGCAATGGCTGTTGGTAGGTTACTATGACGAATTGGGTCAGTGGAACGAAGGAATCACCCCCTACTTCTGGGCGGCCATTGGAATCACGTGCGCTATTGCTGTGAGTGTAGTAGGCGCAGCTTGGGGTATTATGTTGACCGGGTCTGCGATTGTTGGAGGAGGTGTTATGGCACCACGCATACGCACGCGCAACTTGATCTCAATTATCTTCTGCGAAGCAGTTGCCATTTATGGTATTATCATGGCCATTGTGTTCAGCAATGGACTTAAGTCCTATGATCTGGGTGCCCTCGCCAGCATAAATCCCGAGGGCTCTGAGGAGCTATATAAAGCGAGAAATCTGACGATTGGACAGAACATGTTTGGTAAGTGTCGTATGATCATATGCGTATTTTGTTCTTCGCACTGTACAGTCACATTTCATTCAATGTCGTAAATATATATGTGTGTGTTTGTGTGTATGTATTTGTGTGCGCGTCTTTTATTTAACATGTATATGCGTATGCATAAATGAAATTGTGAGACGTGCATAGTATACAAAGGTTTTAACTACACACGTTTGATATTGCTAGTTGGTACAAATCTTCGTATTGTGTTCAGATGTCGTAGTTGTTCGGTAACACATAATACTCATATGTTGAGCACTCTACATTTATTTATTTTGGATAACATGAACGCCTTTGACTTTATCGAAATTCCGGAGCACGTGCACAATAACAAGTACAGGGCATTTTCCAAGTTTCTTTATCTGTATATATATGTGTCTGTGTATTACTGTACACACTTCGATTTCTTCATGATCGTTGAAGGCTGCGGGGATTTGGTGTATTTTGTGATGCGGAACTGTTAAAAGGTTACACTCCGGCAGCTGTAAAAAATGCTAGCATTTCGTGGAATCTGCGCCGGTGTGGTGGTCACCGAGCTTATTAAGTTTATGTGTGTATAAATGAATTTTTTTAGCTACACAAACATGTCACGTACATATATGAGTACACCACTTGTTCATATATGAGTACACCAGCAATTGCAAACTGTATAACTAGACTATCTACCTATATATATTGATTATGTAAGCTATGTGCAGATGTATTAAATCATACCGACTTGTTAAAACAGGTCCGTGACATCGGCTCTTTGTTGTGTTGACTTTTGATAGGCGGATTGAAATCCACAACCTGTGCCAATAATCAATTATGCATTACAGTGTTGGTGAGATATGGCACATCTCTGAATCCCTGTATGCGAATGTCTATACAGGTCTGGTAGTCCACAAGTGACATTTGTTTTTGTATTTATTCATTTGTTTACCTTGCTTTGTCCAAGCCCGAAGTCGCTCCCTATAGGGTGTGTTCAATGAGTATAATCCATCTGTGTCGTGCATATATTATTCTGCTCGATTCGCTTTGATATAAATATCAGATATGGGACTTGATCGTGTAAATCTAGACTTGCGATATTCGAGGCAATACGGCGGTTGCATTTCCGACCTGAAAAGTTAATGTGCGCGTGCACCACTGCAACCAACTTTTTTCAGTCTCATTATGCTACAGCTCGTCCGTCTCTATACCCCTCACTAACTGTATGTATTTGATAATTCACAGCCGGAGCCCAAATGCTTGGCGCTGGTTTGACCGTAGGATGGTCTAATGTGGCGTGTGGTGTGTGCGTTGGACTTGTTGGAGCCGGAGCTGCGCTGGCAGACGCCCAGAATGCCGATTTGTTTGTGAGAATCCTGATCGTCGAGATTTTCGCGTCAGCTATTGGTCTTTTCGGTGTCATTATTGGCATTATCATGGTGCAAACCGTACGTTTCGGAAACATTGAATAATTAACAAGGCGACACCAGAAGTATAAAAAAAGATTGCACGGGCTTGCTCGATTGGGTGACTGGGATAGCCCATCAGGGATAGTCAATAGCGGCGAGACGATGTGTGCAATAAAGTTTAGTTATGTACACGCTCAGGTGGTTGGGAAGTCTATGTTAACTGTGGATCAAGTAGTTTGGTTGGAAGTCAAAGTTTACCTTTAAAATTGAGTGCACAAGATGAAAAGCTCGGCAGTTGAGCTAGACATGTTCCTTTAAGCGTTCAGAGCTTTGTGCAGGTTGTGAACGAAGAAAGAAATGCGTATGTATGTCTACACAGAAATAGGTTTAAATGTGTATTTTGTATACAGATACAGATACGAATTTATATATGTGTGTAAGTATATGTATGTGTGTGTATATTATTATATTATATATATATATATATATGCTCTTGCAATATATGTATGTGTATATATACATACTCTTGCGATATATGTATGTATCTATATATTATACGATATATGTATGTCTATTGTTGTATAAATATTATGTTATACGTGTGTATATTTATAATTATATATTGCGATGTACGTATGTATGTATTTGTATATATATATTGCATCTATACATGTATTCAAATATATACATACGTATTATATATGTATATTGTATATGTATAATACATATTTATATTATTTGGACAAGTGCATTCAATTCCCTCATAGATATATATATGTGTGTACAGGTACATGCACCTATACACATTAATCATACATATGTAAATACATTCACATACCGAAATACGTATCCATATACGTATCAGTGTATGTACACGAATACATCAATGCCACAGACATGTTCATTTTCCGGTAGACGTACTTACCTGCACCTACAAATATATGCCTGTACATATAATATATCTGAAGTGTCGACGCGGATGATACATGTAAATATATAGATGCATATGTGTATATGATTTGACGTTCGTGCGCGTATAGTCGTGAACATCTGTATCCATCGATTCCGTCCTTCGTATATATAAGGATAATATCAAGGCGAGAACTCTACTACAGGTACTACAATAGCTCGAATACATAAAGGCGAGACACCATAAAGTTATCGTTCAACACAAAATGAAAATGGCGCGAAAAGTATTTAGTGGGATCTATTTCGATGATTATTTGTCCAGATCAATCCGTTAAAGCGGTAAGAAAAACACCGCTTACGTCGGTGGGGAACTAAAAACTCTGAAGAGAGGGGGAAACGTTAATTTTTATTTTTGGGTTTTCGTACCCTTATTTTGTTTGCGAAAGCACGGGCGGGTGGGGGGGGAAAGCCCCCAATAACCGTATCCCTTCTACTGGTGGTATCACTTCGTGTTTCTTGTATTCGGCCTTTCTATGCTCATGTACAGGGTCTCAAATGGATATAAAAAGCTTCATTGAATTCCTTATTTGGAATAGATAAAGTTCTGAGGGACCTAAAAGCTAAAGCTTTTAGTGATAAATACATAGTTTTTTTAATTAAACATCCAGTCTTGTTTTTCCATATTTTTAAAAACGTTTATACGGCAAAAGTACATAAACGTATTTATTTATTTTACGTTTTTAAATACAAACGTATTGAGGGTAGCACTGTCAGGCGTCAGCCGTCACTTATATCCCTGCGAATACACTGACATGTTCATTCTGTTCTAAATAAACCTACTTTATGTTTCCAGAGTATAATTATAGTCACGGGTATAGACAGTATAAACTTAACTACTCATACGTTGTGCAAAGCCCTCTTTCGATACGATGAATGCAGCAGATTGCATCACCTCGGCAGTGCAAGCGCTGGTCAACAATGATAGCCTGCAGGCTATGAAGGAGTTTGCTATGGCTCTGCAATTAGAACCAGAGAATGAAACAGCTGGCCTTGGATTGGCTAAAATCTATGTATCCAGTAACCAGTATACACAAGCCGTGCAACTTTGCAACAAGATGATCAAGCAAAATCGAGAGTGTGAGCGAGCCTACTACCATAAAGTATATGAGATGGACAACTAGATCTAGTGGCAGTATCGATATGAAAGATATCGTCGTCTTGCGTTTTATTGTGGTGTTCTGTGTGTCCATGGCAACATATGTTATGGAGTTCTGCATAGGCAAATATATATATACGTGTGTGTGTGTGTGTGTGTGTGTGTGTTCTCTGTGTGTGTGTGTGTGTGTGTGTGTGTTGTGTGTGTGTGTGTGTGTTCGTTCTTGTGTGTGTGTGTGTGTGTGTTGTTGTGTGTGTGTGTGTGTGTGTGTGTAGTACTATATATATATATATATATATGTGTATGTATGTTAGTATGTAT